ACCATGTGTTTAGTAGATGAAATCAGTATCGCACGGTAGATTTTAATTAGTAAGTGGTACCATGCAAGATTGCAGCAGTAAAGTGATGTACTTTCATTATAGCTTAATGAAATTTAACTATACTGTTGGCGAAATCACCTATAGCAGACACCAGCTCTTTTTATTTCTCATCTTATTAAGGTAAAGCATCGTTTATTTGAAATCATGCTTGCGTGTGTGAGTGCCCTGTGATGGGCTGGTGTCACGTCCAGGGTGATGTCCTGTCAGCTGCTCTCATGCTTCTTGGTTAAGCCTCAGGTTGCCCTTCCCTTTTTCTGCTTTAGAATTCTATTGATAAAGAGAATCCCCTTAGAAATTTCTTCTTGAAGGAATTATTGGCGATTTTTCACACCAGATGAAATCTGTCTGGCTGCTGTCCCAGAACCACTGGAATCCTTACAGATCTCTTTGGAATAATTTTTCTCTTAAAATGAAGGGTCTTGCAAGGAAATAGACATTTGGAGGAGAATTTCCATAAACAGTGGACTAGAATTTAAAAAAATGTAGTATATACAGTACAGAAGGAAAACAGTCCCTTATAGTCTGTGAATTTTAAGACTCTCTCCTTGATGTGTTATAGAAAATAATTAATGTGTCACCCGTCTCGCTTGCCTTTTTCTTAAATGTGAGGTTAACTTTGTCTTCCGTGTAAATCTCTCTTTGACATCAATGCTCCACGTTACAGGGGGTCAATGTTCTGATTTTGTGTTCCCACAGCAGAACCAGGGATGCTAAATCACACCCACCAGGGGTTTCCAAGCTTCGGGGGGAGATAAATCTAAACATTTGGTGATAATTCAAGTAACTTCTCTTAGGCTTTGTGCTCAGCCATCACTGCAGGGTGCAGAACATTAGTGTAAATCAGGGAAACAGCCCTGAGGATTCAGGTTGTCAGAATCACTCCAGCTCACTGCTGAGCCTGGAGTCATTGTTCGTCCCCTCACTGAGTTGGCATGCTGGATCGCGCATGAGGCAGCAGGAGCTGTCTCTCTGTACAGTAAGTGAGCAGGAAAGTTGCTGTTGCATCCGTGTGCTGTCTGAAAGCATGTCTTGTGCTTCGGTACTTCACAGGTCCATGGTGTCCTTGTTAAACAGTTCAGAGACTCCAGGCTTAAACAAGATGTCTGGCACATATTACTCCAGTATTCAACTGGTGCTGTGAGAGTGTCAAAAAACAGGATCTTGCAGGGAATATTCTGGGAATTTATTTCAGTTTTTTTTTTTCTACAAACATGAATAATCAAATAGATTAATTTTGGTTTTGAGTCCAAAAAACAAAGACTGATTTAAAACAAAATTAGAAGACTAACTAGATACATCATCCATATTAATATTCCTTTAGAAATCTGTATTTGTATGTACATATTTACTCACTGAAATGAAAGTTAAAATCAACAATGTAGCCAGTGGTACACAACTCCGATCCAGATGACCAATGGGTTGGCAGATTTTCATGATCCCTCTGTAACTGAGATAATCATTAGATTAATTGGACCAGTGTAACACTGTTCATGGGTCATCAGCTGATACCATTTCCAACATCCCTACATTACAGCCATTGCAAGCTTCTTTTTGTAAGAAGGAAGGAAATAAATGAGAGGAGGCCATTCAGCCCATATAGCTTGGTTGGTTCCTACTTGGATACTAGTAGCTACTTCTACATAGCTGTGTCCTGAAAGAGATGCCATCAGCCAGGGCATCAGCTATGAGGCTGCCCAGCTTTATTCCAGACTCTCACAACTCCCTGTGGAAAAAAAAACTACCTCCAGTTTTCAGTTTTAAATGTGCTTCTGCATAGTTCTCACTCATCTCCTCTGGTTTGTGTTTCACTGTTGATTCTACGGTGTCCTGGAGAACTGTCAATCTTTGAGTCGGATGCTCTTGAGAGTCTTCTCTGTTCAAGACTACAAAGATTAAGATGGAGTTCTCTGTACCTGAAAATGCAGGATTTCCTTTAAGCCAAGGGATATATGCGGAGTTCTTAGCGTCTAAGCTTCAATCACTTTCAAAGCAGAGAAAAGGAATCCTGATTTTGAAAGTCTCCACTAATAATTACGAATGTAGCTTGAGAGGATCACCAAGGTTTTGAAAATGCATTGTGATAGCTATTTTAAAACAGACCTATTCAAAACATTGTTTCAAAAGCACATTGGAAAAAGCATTGGACATCGGTCTGTTATCTTTGCACTCTATTAATTAAGCCCAATTCATAACAAGAAATTCGTAGTATTTTCAGCAACGTAAAGGCATTAGGGTTGGTGCAATGGCTTCAAGAAACAAGCAAAGGGAAGTGTTAGGAGTAAGTGAGTAATTCTTTCCACAAGCTTACAGGCCTCTCCAGAGGGTGTCGAGTTCCACACTCTGTGAGGACTTTGTCGTGTGCAGTTCTGCTATCTGACTGGTAGCATAGACGTTTTACGTGAAAATGGCTTAGTGAGAAGGGCACAAACATACGGTACTGTTCACCAGCACAGTACATATCAACACCACCAACCTGTAGGAGTGCTGCAGCAGCTGTAATTGTGTGTGCCTTGTGTACATCACTAGGCTTACATCACTAATGCTTACTGTTGGGTGCTTATGGGAAAAGAGGCACACCAAACAGCACTATTGTAGTAATAATACAAATAATATTATATTTAGCTTAAGAGACAAGCTTAACTTGCAGTATACCTACCAATAGTACTGAGCCATCCTGGGACACCTGGAGTAGGGTGTGTGCTAAGGGAGTTTCTTTCCTGAAAATGTCATCACATATTATAGGCAGTCAGAGTATTGTATTGTTTAAGAATGTGACGGAAACATATTAATAATAGACATCATCATCCACGACAAACTCAGAAAACGAGAGCTTTTACCTTGATGTACCAAATCCGTCAAAAAAGGACTTGTGAAGGAGGACATCCCTCTCCGTTTTGTAACAAAAAACAAAAACGTCAGCGCGCACTGCAACATTGTGAGAAGACGTCTGTGAAACTGGACATATGCAACATTTTCCAAATAATCATATTCATCTATCAGTTGATAAGAGTGGAAGTATGGCCAGCCTTCTCGGCTTTGCAGCTTGAGGAGAGCCAGTTAAGACTCTTGGCTCGCGTTGTGAGAGACAGCAGTCTGAATTCACATGGTCCAAACTTGTAATAACAGAGCAGACACACACAGCAGGCCCAGATGAGGTAAAGCACTGAAATCAGAGCTCCCCAACCATCACAACTGTTGCCAGGATCATAAAACAGAGGTTGGAAGCAACTACCAAAGTTCTCCATTAAAATTGAAACCTTACGATTTACTGTACAACAACCCGTTTTTACATTGCTGGAAGAACTTCACACGATACAGCAATAAATCCATCAACACAAATGAGAGATTCTGAGCCTTAAAGATTTTCTAGAATTTAATAATGGAATATTAACAAGATAATAGGTTTCGTGTTTTAAGCATGTTCTGTTTCTGTGAAATGAAACTGTTTGGAATGAAACCAGATTCCAGCCTTGCTCCTTCACTCTGAAGAACGGAATAAACAGGCCTCCTGAAATAAATATTAGAGAAAAGATGCAGCTCTGTGAACTACTTCATCTTGTTTCGCATGTCAGGGCAATAGCGAGAGAGAATATGCAAGAGCAGACACAAATTGATAACAAAGGACGGACAGCAGGCAGGCAGTTGTGCTTCAGTGTGAGTACATCATTGACTTAACCTGACCCACGTGATTTGATTTTCTCCGTTATCAATAGGCTTCCAATAGCACAAGATGTCCAAATTAAATTCTGATTCGAAAGAAGGCAAAGAAATGCTGACATCTGTGTCTGAAAGATTATTTTTACTAAATCATCGCAAAATCTAAATGTGTCAGTAATGTTTCAATACACGCTTTGACGTGTGGTTGAAAATTAGGACTCTGGAATCACTGCTGGTCTTTCATTTATAACAGGAGCACAGTGCAGACTCAAACCTCCTACATTGCTTAATTTATTGGATTAAAAAGGAAAATAAGCATTAAGAATATATATGTTTTGATATCCTTCTCTAAAAAGGCATAAAATAAAGTGCACGTTTGTAATAAGCAGGGTTTTTACTTTATTTAAACACGTTTGCATAGTGAATTATTCTCAACAACAAATCTTTCAAAAAAGATTACTTGAATTCTCAAAGCTTTGATACTATATATTAGAACAATCAAACTTTATTTTTAACTTACGTACTTACTGAAAACAGACATAAACAAGCTTCAGTACACAGTTCCCTGATACAATTTACTCTTAAATGGCAACTTTAAAGAAATTAACCACCTTCGAATTATGACGGTGCGCAGTGCTGACGCCTGGCGGCGAAAAGGAGAATTGCCACGCCTAAGTAATGAACAAATGATTCTTAAAATACTGCAATGGGTTGGGAATTCTTAATGGGATAATCGCTAAATAAATAAAGAATAAAGCAGAAAGTTAACAACACTATATGTAATAGCGATGCTGTGCTGTATACGACAGAAACACAAGTAAGATGTATTCCGCAGGCAATGCAGACGTGAACAGCAGAAATGTCCTAGAAATGACTGATAATCGCTACGACCTATGAAACATCATGAAATAATAATTATATACAATTTTCCAAGCTGTCGCTTTAAAAGGGTCGGGTTTAAATGGTCACGATCTGCTCTAAGTGACTCACCATCTGTGCACGCAGCCAAAATAATTCAACTTTCGCCAGATAGTCTCAACATGTTGGGATCCTCAGAGGACGCAACCATTCCCCCTAAAAGGGGAAAGAGTCGTCTTAGCTGTGGAGAATTACCCCCTCATCTGTGACGATGTAAGTAGATCAAAAATCCTATGGCTCAAGTCACACAATGATGAATTTTGAAACCCAAATAAAACCTTAATTGGAGGAGTCCGAGATTTTAACTCTGTGCACCAACTATGGAGATCTACCCAAATTCTCATGGTACAGTCTTCCTTTAGAGGCCGAGCAGGGACTGTCCGTACAATAGCAGTCCCATCAGCTGTTGTGCTGGGGGGTGAATGGGGTTTCTTTCTCCTGCGGGGTTTTCGAAGTTTTGAGAACACCACCCCTGTAACACCGGGATCCTCGCGTGTTTCGGTGACGAGCACACACCCCCCCCAAAAAAAACCACAACTGGGGGGAAAAAAAATCTTTCTTTCTTTTTTTTTCTTTCCAGAAATCGACAAATCGTTTTTTTTCCCCCCCGTTTCCAGCTCGTTCCATTTGGAATTGGGGGGTAGACTGTGAGTGTGCATGCTGGTGGCGAAGCGACTGAACTGGGTCTTTTTTGGGGGGGTGGGGGGATTTCTGGAGGAATGAGCACACTGCTGGAGAGGGAAAGCGAAGAAGCGCATGGTTGAAGGAGAAAATGGAATGCAGAGAAATCGGAGCCGATGTGGAGGAAAAAACGCCACCAGTTGAGAAATGTAAGTTATCTTTTTAAAGATGAAATCCCCCGGATTCGTGGTTATCATTTTGGTGGCCTGCGCCGGAGCGATCTGATGCCCTTGGTCCAGTGGTTGAATGTTGAAAAAGAGCTCTTTCAACAGCAGTGTGTCGGTATGCTGCGTTTAAACGCTTATTAATATTGTAGGAGAGTGTGGTGAGCCGGAGATCGGGAATAATACCCTGTTTACAGATGTTTTATAAGGAAATCGGATGATAACCACTCAACGAAGTATTTTCCTGCCTTCTTACAAGTACTTGCTAGTTTTTGTTTCATCTCTTGCAACGCTTTCGATATGGAAGAATATGGAATTATATGTAATGTGGATTTACTTGAAAAAGAGGGATTATTGACCGCCCCCACGGAATGCATTTGAGGATAAACCAATCCCCAGTATTTGTAAACAGGTTTAAAAGCAGTTTGAAATGTTGTTCAACGCTGATGAGCATTGTCATTTTCTGAAAACACAGCCCGTGTACGTTTTTGTGCCCAGCAATACACAAGTGTAGCGAAAGGTGAAGCAGAGGAAGTCTGTGACACAACACCGGTTGGATAAATTGTATCTGAACGCTTCCGATGTTCGTCTTAAACCACAACATTGCTGGTCGCTTCATCTGCTGCACCACGACTACGGTTCACTGTTTCTTTTACTTTGCTTTTTCTTAGGAATCCGATAACTTGAAATGCCCGTGATCTCACAGTCTGTTTATTCCGTTGCATTTTTTTGCCGTGTCTGAACCCCCTCCCCCTTCTGATTTTATAATAAACCTCATGGCCCGTTAAATCCAGTCTAGGAGCCCTGTGGCCTCCACACCGGTTGCTGGTGCGGCGCACTGTGGCAGAACACCTTCGTAGGGTTAGGACTCGTGAAAGCACATTTCCAGAGGTGCTGTTGAGTGTTGTTTGCCGATGAGGAGAGTCTTCATTCATTCCAAACCTTAGAGATGCAGTTGAGCCGGGAGAGGAGCACCTTCTGAAATACGTAGCTTGGTGCATTTCAGAAATTGTTAAGAGGACAAACAAAAATTGATCTCTCCTACTCCTCGATGTTAAATTTTAAGGGATCTGTCGAATTTGTCTGTTGTGTGAGATGTATGAGACCGAGATGACCTCAGAATTGGTCGCATTCCTAGCTCAGCACCGTGTGGGTCTCTTAATACAGCAGATGACTGGTGATTGTTTTCCTGTTCCATCCCAACAGATAGGCTACAGCCAGGAGAATCTGTGCTCTGTGGGAGCCACGTTAGACCCTTTGAAAGGAGTGCTGGGGAGTCTGGTTGTGGCTGGCTTTAATTCTTGGCAATGGCAGGTGTTTTCGCCCCACAAGCTGGGTGTCTGTGCAAAGCCCTGCTCTGAACGGTGCAAGTATGGACGTGGCGTGTGGGTTGTGTGACTCAGGATGGTGTAGGCTCTTGAGCACACCAGCGGGTGGTTGCTCAGTGTTTGAAGGTGTGTGGAGGGAGGCGGTGGTGTAGTGGGTGGTTACAGAACCTGGTGAAGGATACTGCTGTGTGGCAAAAACCCACCAGGTGCATGAACCCATAATGTTCATGCACAGGCATGAGTGAGTGGGGCTGTAAGTCTTAGGTGGGTAGTCACTTGCCAGAGGTGGGTTTGATAAGCGTGCTTGTTTTCAGATGTTTTGGAAAAGGCTTTTCACACTTTCTGACACTATTTTCAAGGGGATGGGGAATTTTATTCCAGGAAGCAAACCACAAAAACAAAAGAAAAGCCAGGAAGCATTTTTTTCTTTCTTGGAAACACACAGAGCAGGACAAGATGCACATATAATCAAGTAATAAAACACCGTCTAGGCTCATCTCTGAAACCTAGTCTTCGATGTACTGTACATACCAGCCAGTTGTAACCTGGCCCTGGTTTTGCAGTAATGTGCCCTGTCTGTGTGCATTGTGAACATGCACACCAACGGTTTTGCTGTTAACTAGTTTCCATTTGGCCAGTGTGTGGGAAGAATACTGGAGCATCATCCAGGTGGGGCTGCACACTGGTGGTGGTGGAGGGGATCCCCATTACCTGTATAGAGCTTTGAGTGGTGTGTCCAGAAAAGCAGTATAGAAGTGGAAGGAATCATTATTATTTAGAAGATCTGAGGTAGGATCACGTTAGGAATTTGCCACACACCTCTCCGTAGAGGTGACGCTGGTAAGAAACCTACACGTTTCTCTCGCCACGCTGCGGTTAGGCTTGTGTTCCTGTCTTCAGTCCCGGACCCGGTCCTGCTCTGCGTGTTTTCTGATGGCAATGGAGTGCGGCAGGGGGTACCTCGCAGATCTAAACCGCTGTCCTGTAAGCACGAATGCTTGCAGGATCACAGGTTTAGATCCCACCCTTGTCTTTAGGCTGTATTTAACTACGTCTCTGTGGAGCTGTCTGACGGGGAAGAGCACAGCTGTAGCGCTGGATTTCCAGCTCAAGGTCAAAACGGCGAGCGAGACAATCTGCCGCAAGCCGCGTGTGTGAGCTCATTGTCCACCTCGTCTCCGTTCTGTGAAGCCCGCTACTGGAAGCACCAGAAGTGTGTGCTTCCTTCCTGCCTCTCAGAGGTCAGTGGGGGGTTCTGGCTGAGCGTCAGGAGCTGGGAGAGAGGAGCCCCACCCTCGCTGTGGGAAACTTCATCTGGGACTGCCAGACACAGCTGCCCGGCTCTCGGGGGAGAAAGCAGATCAGTTTCCTTGGCTCTTTTTTCCCTGGGTCCACTTTGGGCTGCTTGCCTGAGGGTCCGAAAGGAAAATGAAGTTGAATGTCCGGCGGTTTCTGGGCTAAATTCGGATAGCCTGCTTACTGGGCATCTGCCTCTCAGAGGCATTTCAGTCCCTGGTCTGTTCACAGAGGGCCTAGCCTGTCAAGAGCACGCCTGCCTGTGGCTGTCGTGTGCAGAAACCTGTAAAGCACCCCAGCTGTTGGGGAAGGTCAGCCAAAGATCACGGCAGCCTTCCTCTCTTTTCAGGTTTATCCAGCCATCCATTTTCTAAACCACGTTATCCGGGACGGGGCCGCGGGTGAGCCGGAGGCCTGTCCCGATAAGCAACGGGCGCAAGGCAGATTTCCCTGTACGGGACGCCAGCCCATCGCAGGGCACGCACACATCCGAACACGCAAACACTCACACCAGGCCCGAGCTGTGGGAGGAAACTGGTGTACCCCGGAGAAACCCACCCGAACACGGGGAGAACATACAAACTCCACACAGACTGCACCCCAGGAGTTGAACCTGGAGCCCCAGCGCTGCCAGGCAGCAGTGCTGACTACCATGCCACCCCTTTTCAGTTCTGTGTATGCCAACTGTAATAACACACGTTTGGGAGCGGTGCAGAAAATCCCACAAGCCATATTTGTTGAAGGCTGCAGAGTCTGGGCTGAGTGTCTTGAGATGACAGAGCGGGAGACGGATTTGAGGAAAGAGTTTGTCAGCATGTTTTTTCTGACCTGGAAGGGGAGGTGCTCCAGTAGAGCTCCAGTTGAATGAGTGAGTGTCATGCGGACGTGTACATCTGCTTCTTATGAACAGTCTGGAAGCAGCAGGATGTGTTTTTCTGTTAATTTTTGCTTTGTCCTTTGGAAAGGACACGTTGTTTCTTAAAAGATGTTTAAATCGTTGTCCATAATGATGTAGGACAGTAGAGCAAGTCGTTTGGCATTTTAGCTTGCCGATGTGGACATGTGCTGTCCTCTGGAGTCGATTTTTTTGTTTCTAAAATCATTCTACCTGCTACAACGTCAGCAGCAAATACCATATCAGTGTTGTCGTGTGAATAGCATTTGCTTCTGGTCACTTGCATGAATGTAAGGTATGAGTGGAAAATGAAGTTTGAAATCCTGTCGGACAGCTGTACCAGTTTGTTGTTTGTGATACTAGTGTGTTATTCTGGGGTTTCAATGACAAATACTATAACTGAACTCAAGTGAGGCGTTGTGAGGGGGCAAATTATTCTCCGCTTTAAAGACGAAGGATATTGAGGATCTAGAATCAAATTCGATGGCATAACAAAGCCTGGCATTTTCTATGTTTTGTTCTGTTATTACCTCTTACGAATGTGAAGAACATAAGAAAGAGGAAGTCATTCAGTCCTTCTAGCATGTAATTATCAGCCACTTGATCCCAGCATCGCATCCAGAAGTTTCTTGAGAGAAGAGATGGTATTGGTTTCAGTGACATGGCTGGATATGTTCCATACTACCAGATCATTCCACATTCTGACGGCTATTTACCTTTCACACAGTACCAGCTATGGACTTATTAAAATCATGCGCTTCAGGTTAGTTTTTTTTTGCTTCAGTCAGCCTTGGGTCGTAAAGTCACTGGACCGGGACCACTTACTGTAGGTTCCTGTCATGACAAGCTGTGGAGCACACAACACTCATACAAAGATTGAAGAGCTGGTTCATTCTGTATTCAACAGTGGTGTCTGCTGTTGTCTCAGTTATTGTGGTGGTAGAATTTCATTTCACTCTTTTTAAAGTGCCTGGAAGAAAAAAAAAAGCAATTTCTTTAGACAAAATGAAAAGATATTTGACCCAGTCATTCTGGATTTCCTAAAGAAAATGATTGAATTTGGACAACTATTTCTCCTATCTCCAAACGCACTTCCTATTATCGGAGGAAATGTATTGGTAAGATCTTCATTTTTTCTTAAATACAGCAGCAGTTTGCCAGACATTAGACTACATCTGGGTGGTCTAACTCCCGTCCTGCAGGGCCAATGTATCTATAGGTGTCCATTTCAACTTGGCTCTTAACAACCTAAAGCTCATTAGTGGCTTAATCAGACCAATTTATTAGCTTCTTTCGGGTCTTCAGGTACAGCTGCTTTAACTAATGCCAGTCAAACCTTCAGACACACGAGCCCCCCAGAACTGGATTCAGAAAACTCTATACGTTTTCCTCAAAAATGAATTCTCTATTAGCAACCCTGCATTTTGAGTGAGGATTGTGTCATGCATTGCTGTTATCTAACTTGT